GGCTCAGGTTTTACATTACTGATACACACCTCGAAACCATGGTTTATATAGTACATGTACATCAATACACATGTACCGGTACATGTAAACTGTGCAGTGTGTAAATGCTTTTTGTACTGTGGTGTGTAAATGTACTTTGACCTCACGTGATCAAGGTCTATAAATAAGCATAGAGTCTCGGGACAGAGAGAGGGATTCATTCGTTTTCCAAGCATTAATTCGTTCGTTCGTTCTTCCGTCTATCTTCATTCTAGCACTCCGTACTACTGTTACAGACTATCGATTATATTCACAAAGAAACAGTAATTACCTTGTATCATAGTTGTTTATGATTTCTGTAACATTAGAGCTGATTTCTATACTACTTATTTTCTCTCAATCCCCTCTCTCTTTCCTCTCTAGACTTTTATTGCTCACACACTGCGCTCTTTGTGCATACACATATTCGTATAGTCTTTCAATTGATCAGTTGTCTTTGAATACAAATCAACCTTTTACAGTACCATAGGAAGCCATAAAATGAAAGTGCCGCGCAGTGGTGTATATATGATACACTCTAAAAGACTCTCAGTCTCTTAACATCATCCAGCAATGATGAGGAGACACTGAATATAATCATTAATGAGAGAGAAGGACAAATTAAGATTAAAGGTATTTATACTACATGTACATATACAGTATCTTTTAAATGTATTTATTATGTACATGTACATACATTGTATATATTACGTATCATCATAGATGCTGCATGAAATATTGAGATACAATGAATTGTAATTTATGTACATGTATATGAATTATACGTAAGGTTGTTAGACTTTGATTGTTGTTTTAAGGTTGTTTGTTTGATGTTAGGATTCTCTGAGTTGTATCGGTTTGCTAAGAGACTCCACACGTCATCAAGAGGACAGGGAAAGAGCTTAATGTCACATTCAAAAAGTAAGAGAGTGTGACACATGTACATGTATGTATTAATGCATATGCTACAATGTACATGTGGAAAGTTTGAGCCAATGTGTGTTTTTAAGGGACCGATTTTCAATAGCTATTCAAGGCTATGGTCCTTGGTTTTTTCAAAAAATGGCTACGAAATCAACTCAAATTTTTATTACATTTTCTGATACATATTGATATCTTTAAGCTGTGTAGAAAGTTTGAGCTGATTCCAACTTCAATTTTTCAAGTTACGACCAATTTAATAAAATGCCAAAATTTTGAAAAATACTCAAGGCTATAGCCCATGGTTTTTTCTGAAAAATGGCTCCAAAATTACCCCAAATTTTTATTACATTTTCTGATACATATTGATATCCTTATGCTGTGTAGAAAGTTTGAGGTATTCCCAACTTCAATTTTTCAAGTTACGGCCAATTTAATAGAATGCCAAAATTTTGAAAAATATTCAAGGCTATAGCCCATGGTGTTTTCAAAAAATGGATCCGAAATCACCCCAAATTTTTGTTACATTTTCTGATACATATTGATGTCCTTAAGCTGTGTAGAAAGCTTAAGCTGATTCCGACTTCAATTTTTTAAGTTACGGCCAATTTAATGAAATCCCAAAATTTTGAAAAATACCCAAGACTATAGCCCATGGTTTTTTCAAAAAATGGCTCCGAAATCACCCCAAATTTTTATTACATTTTCTGATACATATTGATGTCCTTATGCTGTGTAGAAAGTTTGAGGTGATTCCGACTTCAATTTTTCAAGTTACGATCAATTTAATAAAATCCCAAAATTTTGAAAAATACCCAAGGCTATATATAGCCCATGGTTTTTTTCAAAAAATGGCTCCAAAATTGCCCCCAATTTTTATTATGTTTCTGATACTACATATATTTATGTTTTAAACCTCTGTAACTACATGTAGATTGGTCCCTCTCATAAATTAAACGTCATCTTATTTTTGGTAGAAATTAGATGAAGATGTTGCTCACTGCAAGGATCAGTTACAAGAACTTAAAGCTCGCACCGGACTACTTAATAAATACATTTAAAAACAATCAGACGTAAGTAATAATTATACATGTACATAATACATACAATAATTTTTTTATCCAAGCAAAATTATTATCTAAAATTTTAGAAAGAATCATTACATATTTTTCCTTTCTTATCAATCCAGTTGCATGCATGCACCCACACATGCACGCATATTAATGAGTTGCTTATAATTGTTTTTCTAAAGGTCAAAGTTCAGTGCAGTCAGAGACAGCAACAGAATAAAGAGTCTGACCTTTATAACGAGAGGGAGAGACTGAAACAAGAACTAGCAGAAGAGAAGAGAGCACATGCTGAGATTGAAAACTACCTCAAGAAACACATTGAAGTAAAATTAATGATAATAATAATTATTATTATTATACATGTACATGTATGATATAAAATAATGTACATGTAATAATAAATTATTAATAAATACATGTACATATACAGTATGCATACATGTATGTGTGTCTGAGTTAAAAAATAGATAAATGTACCATAATGACTTTGCCTGTAATTTTGGAGGGATTTTGCATTTGTCTACGATGTACATTATTGTAAAATAGAATCCACTGATTAATAAACTCAAATCTCTACACTGCCAAAATAATACTTATAATAAAATTTATAATAACTAGGCGAATGTAAAACATTAAGGGGCGAGCAAAACGATTAACATTTTGATTAGCAATATACAATGTCTAATGTAGTGGCTATTAAATGTTGAATGTTGATGTCAATGCACTAATGCAGAATTTGCATGGAAGGAATTTCAAAGCTTCTAGCTTTGAGTGAAGAATCTCTGCAGTTATATAGATCTAGGATGGAAGATAGTTGGTCTCAGAAGCCAGAAGGAGACTCCATTTGTTGTCTTTGGGTGCGAAAATACATATCTCTAGCATTTCTATTGGACCTCCTCCCTCTTTTCTCCTCCTCAGTCTTGCTCCTTTTCACGCTCGTTACGAAGAAGTCGAAAAGCTTCACGAGCATCTTCTTGTGAATTACTGATGCTTTAAGCTTCAGCTTCTCTTGTTTATTGAATACTCTTGAACTCCTCTTGTCCAGTGATTACTGAAGTTGCTCTTTGTTTTTGCACGTGGTACCTTAATTATCAAAATTATCATTTTAAAATGTGTAATTGTTATTTTTTATAAACGCATAAATAGGAGTGATGTACTTGTACAAACAGACAGACAGACATACTTGACTCGACTATGTGGGGCTTGCTTTTGCTCGCCCCAATTATTTTTATTATATTATTTATTATTTTTTAAAATTAATAATAATATTTGCACCTACACGTACACATGTACATGTATACATGTACACATGTACATGTATACATGTACATGTACACACGTAATTGTCATAATTATTATTATTGTTGTTGTTGTTGTTGTTGTTGTTCAGGGTCTTGATGGTAAAGTGGAGTACTGGATGTCATAATATGAAGAACATTTGGAAATGAAAACAATTAAAGTACAAGAGACTAAATCAGCTAAAGCAGGAGGACTACAGAAACTGGACGAACTATCACAAACTGTAAATAAAATAAGATAAATAAGTAAAATAAACAAAATTTTTGTAAATAATGGCATTTATTGTATTTGCGTCAATTGTACACAATGCTATATAAATGTAGCTTAATTTTAGAGGCATGTACTGTACATGTAGAATTTTAAAATTTAAAATTTAGAATTTGTTGCAAAATATACAAGTACATGTACATGTGCCATTGAGCATGCACATAACGGTTCACATAATGTACATGCTACATACATGTAGCTATAAAGATGCCAAAATTCTCCCCCCAACTACAGTACATGTACATGTACATGCATATGTACATGTATACGGCAGTAATTGATTAATATTATTTTTCCATTGTGTGTGTGTGTGTGTACAGTATAAGAGGTTGTGATTGAGCACAGAGCAATGAAGGAGACAAAGAATCAAAGAACAAGAGAAGAAAGAAAATACGACAGCAACCAAAGTAAAACAATAGATTAAGTGTATACATGCTTTCACCTGTACATGTACATGTATTTTATTCTCTCTCCTTTCTCAATTTCTGTCATTTTGACACTCTCTATCAATACTATCATGTCTCTCTTTTACATAATTTTTTCCTTACCTCCCTCC